CTTTTCCTATGAGATGAGTCTCTTGAAGGCAGCATATATTTTTTTAAATCAAACCAATCTATATCTTTGGATTGGTGAGTTTAGGCCATATTCAGGGTTATTATTGGGACATGATTTATATTTTTGTTCATTTTTGTTTATTTTTGGTATTTAACTTTGGTTGACTTTTCCTTTATTGTAGTTCTTCCCTTTTGCAGATTTTTATTATTATTTTTCATTTCCTCCTCATGGAATATTTTGCCTAGAATGTTCTGTAGTGCAGGCTTTTTTATAGTAAATTCTTTTAGCTTTTATTTATCATGGAAGGTTTTAATTTCATCATCAAATCTGAAGCTTAATTTTGCTGGATATAACATTCTTGGTTGGCATCCATTATCTTTTTGAGCTTGGTATATGTTGCTCTAGGATCTCCTGGATTTGAGGGTCTGAGTTAAAAAATTTGCTGAGATCGGAATTCGTCTTCCCATATGAGGGAAGACAAGTTCCCTCATATGGGAAAATGAATTTGGATCTCAGCAGATTTTTTTCTCTTGTGGTCTTTAAAATTCTACCCTAATTCTGCATGCTAGGCATTTCATTATAACGTGTCTTGGTGTAGATCTGTTGTAATTTTGTACATTTGGTGTTCTATAGGCCTCTTGTATTTGATTTTCCAATTCATTCTTCATGTTTGGGAAATTTTCTGATATTATTTCATTGAAGAAATTGTGCATTCCTTTGGTTTGAATCTCTGAACCTTCCACTATCCCAATAAATTTTAAATTTGTTTTTTTGATGGTATTCCATAATTCTTGGATATTCTCTTCATGGTTTCTCTTATTGTTTCTTTCACTTCAATGATTTGATTTTTTTTTCTTTTTTTTAAGAATCTCTATGTCTTTCTTGAAGTATTCTTTTGCTACCTATATTTGCTCTCTTATCTCTTTGTTGCAGTGATCAGTTTTTGCCTGTATGTGCTCATTTAGGTGGTTCTTTAATTCCCAAATCTTTTTAGTTATGTATATTCTGAACTCCTTCTTTAACATTTCACCTACTGCTCTATCTATGGATTCTATTGTTGTAGTATCTTGGTTTGTTTGGGGCACTTTTCTCGCTTTTTGTTTTCCATGATGTCTATGTGTCTTTCTCTATTGCAGTGTAGATCCAAGGTATGACAGCTTCTGCCCTATTGTCTTATAGTGTCCCTACAGGTCACCAATACCTTACCTTTAGGTGGGAGATCAATATTATAGCATCCAATGTACCCAATCTGCAACCATAGATCAATTAGCTTCTATTTTAACACTTACAGTTTTATCACTATAATCAGAAATGATGAGTTCAGTTGTCTTCTACAATATAGTCAATAGGTCTGTGTAATTGTTTGCAGTTTCTAATGGTAGAAGGAGGTATTGAGGGTTTGGCTGAGATGTTTATGAGGTAGGATGGGAGAATATAGACGTATTAGATTATATGACTAGTGAGAGGGTAATCATGAGAAGTTGGTTATTAGTAGGAGAAACAAGAGAGAGGCAATCCCACACAAGACTCCGTTATCTCAGCAACAGGATAAATGTTAGCACCCCTAGTAGAGATACCTCTGCTGCAGCTAGACCCAGAGGGACTTTGGTGACGTCTTACCAGATCCTTATTGTTGTCCCTTGATAGAAACAGCAATATTCCAGTTTCGTGGCAGCGACAGCCTCAAGCCTATATTTACCCTGATGTTGGGCTGTGAAGCCACACTTTGGTGCCTCCCCATGCAGGTGCTGGGGCAGGCCTCTCTCTGGGTCTTAAATATTATTTTTAGTTGTAGTTGGACATTTTTTTAAAGATATTGTGTCCATCTTATTTATTTATTTATTTATTTTTAAAAATTTTTCGGTGGACACATCTTTTGTTTGTATGTGGTGCTGAGGATCGAACCAGAGCGTCGTGTATGCCAGGCGAGCGTGCTACCGCTTGAGCCACATCTCCAGCCCCCATAGTCAGACATTTATTTATTTATTTTTATGTGGTGCTGAGGATCAAACCCAGTGCCTCACACATGCTAGATGAGCACTCTACCGCTGAGCCACAAGGCCAGTCCAGGATTTTATTCTTTTTAAAGCCTGCATAATATTCCATTGCAATGTTTATACCACTTTCTTTATCCATTTCTTTATTACTGGACACTTAGGTGGACCCCATATGTTGGCTATTGTGAACAATGCTGCAATGAACAGTATCTCTTTGACATACTGATGAAATGAAATATCCAGTAGTGGAATTGCTGATTCACATAGTAGTTCTATTCTCTGTTGTTTTTTTTTGAGGAACCTCCATAATATTTTCCATACCAACTATACCATTTTGCATTTCCAATAAAAAGTACACAAGATTCAAATTTCTTTACATCTGTACATTTGTTTTCTTTTTATAACAGCCATCCTGATGGGTATGAGGTGATATCTCATTGTGTTTTAAATTTCATTTCTGATTAGTGATACTTAACCTTGTTTTTCATATACCTTTTGGCTATTTGTATGTCTTCTTTGGAGAAATGACTATTCTAAATCTTTGCCTATTTTTTTAAAATATTTATTTTCTATTTTTCAGCGGACACAACATCTTTATTTGTATGTGGTGCTGAGGATCGAACCTGGGCCGCACCCATGCCAGGCGAGCATGCTACCACTTGAGCCACATCCCCAGTCCAATCTTTGCCCATTTTAAAGACATTTTAAATCTTCTTTTTCCTTGACTTATTTTTACTTCCTTGTATGTAGTTAGTGTGCTATATATACCATGCTTTATATACATGATTACATGCATTATATTTATAAATATATGATGGTAGTTCCCTACTATTATAATGGAGCTGAAAAATTCCTATTACTTAGTGAATATGCAGCTGAAAAGAGAGGCAGGAGAAAAGAAACTGCTCGAGAAGGAAAAGAACCGCCTCTAAATTCACAGCAAAGGAGGAAGTATTTGCAGATCTCAATAAGCTTCTGAAAAAGTTTGAAAACATGGATCCAAACCCCCAAAGGTTTACATTAATAGAGATGGATCTTCATGGTGCATTATATTACTTTGGCTACTTGGTGTCTTTTGTGGTTCCATATGAATTTTAATATATTTTTCCTATTTCAAAAAAAAGCTGTTAGAATTTCGATAGGGATTACTTTGAATCTGTAAATTGCTTTGGGTTGTATGGACATCTCAGCAATATTCATTCTCCCAGTTCATGAACATGAGGTATCTATTTGTCTCATCTCCAGTTTCTTTCATCAGTGTTTTGTAGTTTTCAGTGTAAAGTTTTTTCACTCTCTTGGTTTAATTTATTTCTAAGTACTTTTGGAGGGCAGATATTGTAAATAGGATTATTTATTTCTTTTCACATAGTTTGTTGTAAGTGCATATAGAAACACTACTGATTTTTGTATGTTGCTTTTTGTACCCTGAAATTTTACCAAATTTGTTCATTACTTCTAAGATTTTTGGTGAAGTCTTTATGTGTTTTCTATGTATAAGATCATGTTCCTAGCAACAGTGACAATTAAACTTTTTCCTTTCCAGTTTGTAATTTCTTTCTCTTAAATAACTGCTCTGGCTAGAACTTCCAGTATTATTTTGAATATAAGGGGTTCAAGTGGGCATCCTTATGTTGTTCCTGATGGGCATCAATGTTTTAATAAGCACATGGGTGTTGTCATTTCTCTTTCACTGTGGGCTATACTTTGATAATAAGGATTAGAAAGACCCTAGTTTGCCTTTTGGTGAATCATTTGGAACCAATCTAAGAACTGGTTAGGGCAAATTTTCTTTGCATCATTACTAGAGATCTGGCTAAATTATGTATATTTGTTATTAGTAATTGAAATATGGTTTTTAATGATTAATGCTTAGATAGAAACCTAATAATTAATAGTAATGATGTCTTGGTGGATGCCTCAGTTTCTCCAACTGAGCACTTAAGAATGTAGTTTCAAGTGTCACAAGTAGGATCCTGTCTGACTGCACAGGGAAGCATCCAATAACCCAACACAGGAGCAGGCTAATTACTAATTTTGTAATTAGTAATTAGCACACCATACCAGTGGTTTTGAAACTCTCAGCTATTATTGGACTTATTTTCTGTTATTTAATGCAAGAAAAATCTGTAGCTTAATTCACTATTTTTAGTACTTTTAACCCCTTTGAGCCTCTTGGAAATGAGAAAGGCTAGTTAGTATTTCTCCTCCTGAGATAGGCCTTTGTACCTGATTTCAGTCCCACATAGATGTTATAGGGGCCTAATTTGGGGAACTCTTTTTTTTCTATAGGCTGGTGGGGGGAAATCCTTGTGAGTCTTAAATTATCCTAGTAACTGTGACAATGAGAAATTTATTTCTTATTGCCTCAGATATAGATTTTTATACCTTAGAAAATATTCCAAAATTAAATACTTCCTTCATATAGGACAACATCTTTTTTTTCTTTTTTTTTTTTTTTTTGGTCAAATAATAGGTAGGAGTCCCATTTGGGTGGTAGCTTATCTCTAAGGCTCATTAAATATATTTAGAGAATACCCATTCAAGTTTATATTAAATTTTTGTCTTATCTATTATTTGGATTTTTTTATTTATTTATGCATTTGTCACTACTCTCTAGAAACCCTTCTGCTGTTGGTGCTCATTTTGGTATAAAAGCTAAAGACCATTCATTAAAGTTGGGGGTTTGAAGTAGCAAGCATTTGGAAGAGGGTAGAAAAATGGGTATTCATTTTTAAAAAAACTAAGTAGGAACTGTATACTGTTTGCTCATTTTCAAATCATTTAAAAGTTCAACAAATAACACAGTACATATTTGATGCACATTTATGCAGTCAGGGGAAAGCAGTACTTTCATTAATGTTTCCATTAACTTTTCTGATGCTATAAATTTCCATTAATTTTAGTCTGAACATTACATAGTGACATTTATATAAAATAAGAGCAGATGTTAATTTAAAACATATGCCATACTGATAGTGCATGTTTTAAAAATTGCTTTGGCAGGATCTACTAACATATTGGCACATTCTCTTCATGGGGTCCCTCACGTAGTAACTGCAACTTTGCACATTATAATGGGTAAGAATTCTTCCAAAGAAGTTTGTTTTATAAGGAAGTTTTTATTTATGTAAGAAACACTGTTTTATTTCTGCCAGATGTATCTAAGGAATGGCAAGTTCTTTGTCTTTTGAGATCAGAGAAATGTTTGACTGAAACCAAGAAGTCAATTAGGCAGGGCTTCACTAATTTGGATTACTTATTCAATATATTGTTTTGTAAAGAGTAGTAAATTAAGCTTTACTATAATCTTGATAGAAAAAAATACTAATGATGTTCAAAACCACAATTTTATAATCAGATCCAGAAGAATCTATGGATATTATTTTAGTATATAACATAAACTTTTTTTTTTTTTTTTTTTTTTTTTTTTTTTAGTATATCAAGACTCTCGGGCTAGGATTATGTTAAAATAAAAAAATTTACAAGAAAATTATTTTAACCAGAACATGTCTGTAGTCTATTAATCATCCCAATTTGGAACATTTTATTTTACAAAAATGCAATGCAAAACTACAGTTAAATCTAAGTTTACTTTGTGCATCAACTTCAACATCACTTCCTTAGCTATGTTTTATATGAAATAACAATAAGCTGGCAAATTTACTGCTTTAGGTTTTTCACTTAGAATTTAGAAAAGTTACAAATAATGTCTATAGTAGTTATAGGTAAAGAGAGATGAATAGAAAGCAAGGATATTCATTGTGGTGTACAGTACCTTGAGATACTATCCCATAGATAAATTAATGTGTGGTCTCTGATGTTTGCTGCTTTGATAACTACATGTACTTCATTCACTGACTAATATTCAATACAATACTCAGGGCACATACAGCCAGTTGATGTCTGCTCCTTCAGTACCACTGGCAAGCTTCTTCGCTTTGGGTTTTCAGCCATGTTTGGCTTTGGTGGTAGAACTTTGGCTCTTGCGGAAAAATATCGATGGATGTCTCCTAGCCAACGGAGAGATTTTTCTGTAATAAAGGCACTAGCAAAACTTGAGTAAGTATTTTTCTTAAACCAAGAATTTTGTTTCATGGGGTCAATGACTATTAATAATAAATTTTATTATTTTAGGCCAGAGGATTGTGAAATATCATTTTTACCACTTAATGGCTCTCAGGATGACCCAAAAATGTAAGTTAAAACTCAATGTAATAATATCTGTATCCTTCTTTAAAGCATAAAACATTTTGAAATAATTTACTAGATTTGTTATCTTAGGTTATTTTCTTATATACTAAGAGTCAAGAGTATAGGATCACAGACTCCTGCACGTTCTAGTAAGCATATAGTTTGGCTTCTGTCTTTAGGACACATACAACCAGTCGAATCCATTCATTTATTCACTCAACAGCTGTTTGAGTGCCTACTACATGCTAGACACTTTGGACATATTCATGAGCCTAAACCCAAACAAAACTCGCAATTTTGACCCTCATGAGAATTTTAGTCTAGTATTGAAAACAAATATTAATCAAAGCCAAACTGAGGAAGGGCTCTACTCATGAAAGTAATTGAAAATCATTGTTTCTTATAATACTGTTCTACCATTATATGAATTAACACATTATCAGGTTGGCAGGACAAAATTGCTCATATATTTTCACTTACTATTTAAGAAAATCTTTAATATATACAAGGATGGGTTCTATAATTTCTTCATATCTAATAGGTACCATGTGCATGTGTGTGTGTGACATGTTTTGTCTCTGTTTTGTTCTCTTTCTTTCAGGAGGGCCCAGGGATTACTCAACTCTGGTAAGTGCAAGAGCAGCACCTCCTTGTGACCTGAGCTAGGCTGTACTGGCATTGTGCTCTGGTGAGGAAAGTAACTAGTCACGTTCATTGCCTTTAGACTGTAATGATCAATGGAAAATTATCCAGGGTCAGTTCTTGAATGTCAGCATTATGGCAATTCCCTGCCTGTGTTCAGAGGCACCTAGAGGCTTGGCACCTAATACTAGGTAAGTAAGCATTTTTATTGAGTTCTTGATATTCTTTTTATAAACCCATTTTTTTCTTTCATGATGCCCAGTTTACCTTTGGCTAGCTAGAAACTGCCTAATAGGTAGTGTCTCTTGGCACATAAAAGTTTCTAAAGGATTTCTTATCTTTCAGATAACAAACTTTTCTGTAGTAGGTTGAGAAAAACTGTTGAACTAGACATTTTGCCAGATAATCACTGACCTTTTAGTATCACTAAGGCTAAAATCATATTCCTTGGGTTTTCTTGACTTCATCTTGTTATTTCATGCTTACCTTATTTCCTTTGCTTATTTACGTTTTTACTGGTTGTTGAAAACATTACATTCTGATGTTTCTTGTGAATGTCTCTTTCAATCTTAAAGCAAACAGAAATATCCTTAACATGAAAAGGATAGCACATGTGTTTTCATTTGAAACTTTAAAGGAAACATTTCAGTTCCACTTAATGTGAACTATGATGCATAGGATTCCACTACACACATTTTTAGTTAAATAAAAGATGAGACATTTTATAAATTTCATCTATAGAGTATAGAAATTGTTGCTCTTGCACATTTTTTGAATCATTGTGCATTATGAGTATGAAAATATCTCTCCCACATTCCAATCTTGTATAGAAAAAAGGTTCATGACTGTTGTAAAATAAGGTTTTGTTAGCTTTTCATTGCTGTGACAAAATACCTAAGAAAATCAACTTAAAAGATAAAGATTTATTTTGGCTTACGATTTCAGTCCACAGCTGGCTAGCTGGCTTCATTCCTGTAGGCCTGTGGTAAGGCAGAGAATTGTGGTGGAGAATGTGTAGTAGAGAAAAGCCTCTCACTTCATAGTGGCCAGGAAGGAGAGAGAGAAGAGATAAGTAGGAAACAATACATACCCTTCCAAGGGGAGCTCTCAGTGATCTGTTTCCTCTAACTCGGCCACACTATCTACATTTTCTACCATCTCCCAGTAGTCCATTCAATTATGAACCCATCAATGGATTAATCCATAGATGAAATCAGAGCTCTGGTGATCCAGTCATTTCTCAAAAGCCTCTGAACATTGCTGAATTAAGAATCAAGCCTTGGACACAGGAGGCTCTGAGAGACATTTCACATCCAAACTGTAACAACATCAACTCTAGATTTTCTCTGTAAGTGGAATAAAAGGATGACTTCTGTACTTTGGCAGTTTATAACATATTAATGATTATTAGTTTTAACTTCCCTGCAAAATATTTAACCAGAAAAATTAATATCTAGAAAAGGGAGTGATTTTAAAATTCTTCCTTGGTAATTGCTATAAAGGTAATAAACATGTAACCAAAGATAAAGGAAAAAAAAAAAGAGAGAAACTAACAGCATTAATAATAAATACCCAGATGGCAAGGTTCACATTAAGCATGTCTGGTGCAGAAAGTTGGAAGGAGGGTTTTTGAAGCTTGTGTGATTTGGAAATGGAGCCTGGTTGTTTCCTTTCCACATCCTCAGAAATCCTAGACAGTTGTATACTTCCCGAATGGCAGTTTCCTCTGCTAGACATGAAGATGTGGCTAGCTGGCCCAGAAGCTGCATCCCGCAGTCCTTGAGACAGTGTTTTTCTAACCCTGCTTGTTCAAGGACTTCCAGGGGAGGTAGTCCTGCTGTTCGGGGAGCAATTGATTCATAACCTCTTTCAAAGCAACTCCATAAATGTTCAGCTTTCCTGGGAATCCAATGCTGACTCTCCTAGTTTAATCAGTATCGCTTTTCAAAGAAGGGTGACTAATTATGGATTTCTTCTGTGGCTTATAGGGAAAACATTCCAGTTTTTGTGAAGACCTTTAGACTGGGCCTCAGGTGACCAGAGATATCAGAGATATAGCTTCTGAATGATTCAGAATAATCAGAGATCCTACATTCAGCTTTTCTTCCACTTACAATAAAATATAATATACTGCAAAATAACCTCGGTGCAAATTGGTGTTAGGAACTAATTTTCTTCTACATATTCTAAGAGTAAACGCACTGGTATATATGAGACATTTGGAACAGTGCCAGGCACACTGAGTATGTTTCCATTACTAGTAAATATCGAAAAGCAGACATAGGTAATACTTCTCATGTTTATTAAATGACACAATTAGAAAAACAAAGATGTACAATAACACTACCCTGAACATTTTTTTGCTGTTTCGGAAGGGGAAGAGGTGGCATGATAAGTAGAAGAGACACTGGACCCTGGCAATTAGGAGCTTTGGGGCTGGTGATGATTTTGTTTTTCTCTGTGTCTTTGAGCACATCATTTACACTCTTGTGGTCTTTTTCTTCTACATAAAATGAGTAAACAGTAAGATAATCTCTAAGGTCCCTTACTTACAACTCTAACCTGAGCTCCCATAAGGCTTAAAGAGCTGTTTTTTTTTTTTTTTTTCATATTCTTGGGAGAACTTCATGTTTGCACTGAAATCAGGCTTGAAGTCGTTTGCATGGATTCTGCAAATTGCTTTCTTAAGCGAATGCATTTGTGCATGGCTGTTCTGGCACTAAATCACACCTCTGAATCTCCAGTCTATCATATTGGATGGAATGGGTTAGGCAAGATTAAAATGCTCAGTCATTTAACTGAACATGTGTGGCACAGTTGTTCACTCCATTTCCTCCACCCAGGACCACTTTGATTTATTTCATTTCCTATGTCACTTAGACCTTCTGCCCATAAAATAAATATTTAAATCACACATTAGATTTTAGAAAATGTTGAGCTATGTGTTATACCATTTGTACATGTTAACTATTTTATAATATATCTTTTAAATAATTACAGTGGATTTTAAATTGTGACTTCATAATGTGAATAGGATGCATGATGGTTTGTTTTTTAAAGAGCCCTGATGTAAGAGCTTGCTGAGAAGGAAACAAATGGTTTAGTAAAACTAAATTGAAAAACTCCATCTTTTAAACAATAACACAGCAAGATATGACTCTAAGAGTTTTAGGTAAATTTAAAATGTTGATGATTAAGCTATCTTGCCCAATATTTCTAGTAAACAGTATATTTGTTATAAGAAAATGATATGGAGTAGCTTCTGAAGAAGTCTTTTAATAAACTTCTTAATGTCAAATGCAAATGTTTAATTTCAGAATAAACAATGGAAGTATGGCTCTTATAATTGCACGAAACACTTCTCGACCACAATTTATAAAACACCTGAAAAGATATGCCAGTATAAAAAATCAGGTATGGTGCCTTCTTTTTGTTATTTATTTGCAAAGCTATTAATCATGGAGTAAAAGATGCTTCAAGAGTTGACACCAAGCCTTGCCTCATAAAAAGGCTTTATTTTCTTCTGAATACATTAATCTTTTTTCTTCGATCTGCATTTCATCCAGAGTTTGAAAAACAGCCACCAGTGTTAATATAAACTGACTTTTATGAGATATGGGTTATACATTTTTTTCCAAATAGAAAATATTGTGTTATATTGAAAAGTGAAGCAAATTAAGAATATAATCACACACTCAGGCTGTTCTTCAGAGTGAAAAGTAATGAAATCTGAAGTTGTATCAGCAGTTTTGATTTTATGGTAGCAGCCTCTCCAAAGTTATGCACTTTGGATTTTTCTGACGTTCATTTGCAGGTATGCCTATGTTCACTGGTTAAAAAAGATTTCCAAATATGTTTCATAATACACAACTTTTATGCAGACATTATTTTATTCAAAACAAGAGCACATAGAGATATATATTTCCACTTAAGTGGTTTAACTTTGAAGAGACAGTAGCTATATTCTTTTGCCAGATTTTTGGACCCAGTATGAGTCTTGAGTACACAGGTGTGGTTGTAAAACCCTATCTATAGCCTTGTACATTCTAAAGGTATAAAATAATGTTTAGATGTAGTGGAAAAACAACAAATGATGGGAGGGATGTAGTATATCTAGCCAATGACCGGCTGCTGAATCTTGCTTCCAGACCAGAGCCATTGCCACTTATTAGTGAGATCCTGAGAAGCTCTCGTTCTTCCTTCATAATTTCAAACTTCCTTAGGAAGTCCTCAAGCAGTGAGTTTTCATCTATCTATTTTTTTTTTTATAAACATATTGAGTAACCAACTGGATATTTTAGGAAATTCAGACATAATCACATTTTCCTTAAATATAAATCTCTAAGATGACAAAGGAGACAAGTAGATATAAGACAAGTGATTGTAAGCCTAAGTAATATATGTGTGTCTAGGAGAAAAATGTGGATTTAATGATTTTTTTAAAGGAATTTATGCATTTTCTGATTTTACTAATTTTTAAATTTTACTTATTTTTAATTTATTACGTCATTTTATTTGTTTATTTTAATCGTTAAGTTATAAATTGACAAAGTATAACTATCTGTATTTATGTGGTAAGAAGTGATGTTATGATTCATAATACAGTATGGAATGCAAAGGATTTAAGTAGATTTCAAAACAACAACAACAAATATATGAGTAGTTGTTAAGCACATGAAGATACTCAACATCAGTAGTCATTACTGAAATGCAAATTAGTACCACAGGATATGATAACGCATGTCTCAGAATAACTGCAAAAGAATAAAGATTCCTGGATTAGTGAGGATGTGGAACAATTTGAACACTGATACATTGGGTTTGGAAATGGGAAACACTTGGGCAGTTCCTTTAAAAGTTCAAAATGCTTTTACCATATGACTTGGCAATTTTACTCCCATTCATTCCATCAAGAGAAATGAAAACATGTTCACACAAAGATTTTACTAAATTTTAAACATTAAAATCAACTTTATTTTTCTTACTCCAAAAGCAGCACATGTTCCTTATTTTTGTTTTTTGTTTTTTGTCAGAAAACAGAAACAAGAAAACAAAATGAACAACATTCAACATCTCTTTTTTCTAGGGATAATCAACATTATTACCTTGGTATAGATTTTTTCCCTAATCTTTTTCTATGAAATAAATACCTGAGAAGTGAGTATTAACTTATTAATGAGAACCTGAGAAGCTCTATTTTAGGAGAGCATCTATTGCATAAATTGTGTATGGAAGATCTCTTTTAGAATTCCCTAAGGAGCAAATTTCTGAGGCAATTTTTATAGACGTATTTTTTTTTTCTCTAGTGAAAATAACTGTCTTCTGATTTCAAAATCAAAGCTTACCTAAAAGAATAAGATATACAGAATATAATGAAAATTGTTCTATATCAGTAGGAAAATGTTTTTAAATGAGATTATGTTATGCAAGATATAATGTATTTTTCCATGTACTCAGCCAGTGATTTTTTTTTAAGAAGGAAGAAATTACGGCCTGTGTGTTTTATTAGATTTAACTGATTCACATTGCTATTTCCAGAAATTAAAGTTTATGATATTGCTCTATAATTTTTTTGCAAAGAAATTCCAAAATGTCTTATATAATGGTATACAGGAAAATTAAATAGAATGATTCCCAAGGCAACTGCTGTCAATGTTAGTTTGATATATTTGTTAAAAGTTATCGATACATATCATACTAACTTTGGGAGTGTGTGAGTGCATGTGTATTTGGTCTCTCTCCTTCATAGTGACATTTTCCAAAAAATGTAAATTACATAAGATTATAAAGACTAGATGAATGTGGGTTTATATAATCTGTTGTATAATTAATAGTAATGCTGGTCTTTAGGAAGGAAAAACATGGTTCTTCCGTCTAAGGAGAGCAACATCTGGTTCCCTGAACTCTATTTACCAGGTTAAACAAGTGAATTTTACTATATAATCTGTTGTGGAACAGATTGAGAAACACTTTTGCTTTCCCCATCTTTATAAAATATAGAGTAAAATAACCCAAGTCCTTTCAACTCCATCCTATTGCTGACCCTCTTATCAAAGTTCCCCCATTTCTCATTTTTTTTTTATCATTTGGGGTAATTTAACACCCTTAAGTGTTAGTGCTTCCTCAGGATATACTTGCAGCCCTCTTGACATCTCAGGATACCCTCTTCTGGGTGATTTCCTTGCTCCCTGCTGTTTGAAGTGCTCATCTGTGCATCATGTCTCCCAAGGGTCCTGTCTTCTGATCAGCAGAGCCCCTATGCCTTCTGTGTGCTGCAATGATTATGGAACCCACAGCATCCTGAGTCCCCATGTCCATAGCCGACCTTATCACTTTCCTCTAGCCACTCCTTCCATATTCCCTGTGCAGGTCAGTGGCACCCCTGCCACCTACCCTGAAGTTACTCTGGACTCCTCTTTCACTCCTTCCTCACAATCTCCCATCAACTACTTCTGTTGGATCTCATCTTGAAATTTTTCCTTCATTTGAATTTAAACCTAATTCCTTCTTGCTCCTGTTGGCCTCCTTGTTTTGTTTCTCTGGTCTGGTTTTCTGTACTTCCTTCGAGAGGGAGTTCTCTGAAACACATTGGATTTCTCTTCTGCTTCTCCTTGTCATCAGGCTGAGGTCTAATTTTCTCAGTATGGAGTACATGGCCCTTTGTATTCTAGCCCCTGCCTGTGTAACAATCTCCCTCCCATCCGCCACCAGATTCCCTGTGTCTTGGTCATTGTGTTAGTTTTCTAGGACTATCACAACACATAGAATAGGCGGTTTAAACAATAACAAAATTCTGTTTCACAGTTCTGGAGGCTAGAAACTCAAGGTGTCAGCAGGTTTAGTTTCCTGAGAGGCTGTGTTTTAGCTTGCACATGGCTACCTTCTCACTGTGTCCTCCTGTGGTCTTTCCTGGGGGTATGTGCATCTCTCTGTGCTTTTGTAAATATTATTTCCTCTCTCCAGAGCTCCTTTCCCTCTCCTCCAGGGCTAAGTCTTCTGTGTTCTCAGCTCACATGGGAAGCTTTCCTCACATGCAGAGCCTCCTGGCCTCTTGTCTTTCTGAGCTCCATGATCTCACTGTCATAGCACTTCTCTGTATAATTTTGATGGCTTCTCTTCTCCCCTTCACTTCAAAACACACCTCATGCATCATACTGTTGGCTTCCTGAAGTCCCGTTTAACAATGTCTGTGGCTTCATCATTAATAAATTTGAATGGATGACTGGTGCTTCATTCTGAGAGGTGTGATGATTTAAGATCATAGACTTACTGGCGGTGGATTCAGTTCTTGGCATTTCATAACTTACAGCTTGATTACTCCTGCCTGTCATCACGTGGTGTTCTTTAAGAACATCAATCATGTAGGGTTAGGACAAACCCCAATGGCTTCACCTTTAATTGAGGACACTACTTCCAAGTAAGGTGACATGCACAATTACTGGGATTAGAACTTGATATTTGGGGGGTGGGTGTAATTTAGCCAATAACAGCCAGTTATATAGATGACTCATTTAAATCACATAATCCTTAAAATAAGTGATTATGTAGAAATCTCTGCATGTATGAGTCATGTAATTTCTGCCTGATGCGGAAGGTCTACTGTAGTTCTTACAGAGAACAAGCCCCTTGGAGCCTCTCACTCCACCTCTATCAGAATAGCTGATGCTTCCTTATTGTATAATATGAACTGCACAATCTGTTAGATCTTGCTTTTTGACATATATAACAATGTTGTGGAAGATATTAGTTTTTTTATTGCCTTTTAAAACTCTGCTTCATTGAGGTTTATATGTGGAATAAGGGGAAAACTATGAAGATAATCTATTAGGGATAAATTTCCTGCCATTTGTCTGAAAACTAAAATGAGCATTTTGTAGTTCTCTTGAAATTATTTGGCTCTTAATTATTTCAGAGAATACATATATTTTTTTCCTTATAGCTTCCTTAAGCAAAGAAGAAAAGTTGCAGGTTGAAGGTTACCTTGTAACATTCTCAAGTGGTCAGTAATCAGTTTTCTTAAAACTGGTGTTATTTTTAGAGTGGGAAGGAGGCAGGGTAACACCTGTGAAAGTCAGATTGTGTTGGCTCTTTGAAGAAATATATACTTCATATTTTATTTCATAATTCTAAGTATGAAGCTTCATCATTGGAGTTTGACTCACCCCAGCTGAACTCCAAGTTAATAAGTCAATGGATTATAAAACTCTTTGGTATCAACAGGTATATATTAATCCAATCTTTTATTGGAAGATATACAATATTATGTGCAATTTTTCATAGATAGGAACTATTTGTCATACAAGGTCTATACGATAGACCTAATAGTCAAACCAGCTTCAGGAAAAAGACTCCTTCAAACAAAACAAAAAACAAAATGAGGATCCCTGGTGGTAGTTTCAAATCTGTAAAAATATTATCTTGCATCATTTTTACCTGTGAGAGGAGACACAGTAGACCTTCTTGATTTGCAGTAGCAGTTAGAGATAAAGCCAATATCATGATTATTTGCATTTGTTTTATTTAGTTCAATTTTCCATTTGTTGAGACTTATACAGTTTTAGAAGTAAAAGTTCATCCAAGGAACACCACTAGTAGCTACAGCCCAGAGGAGGATAGACCGCATGAAGCTACTTTAGAAAACAGTTTTCCTTGGAATGTAGATGGGGACTTAATGGAAGTTGCATCTGAGGTCCATGTCAGGTAAGCCTAACTATTTCACTGTTTTGTATGTCACCAGTAGACCCAACATTAGTACTGCAGGTAAGCATTATTTCAAAAAGTCAAGCAAGGAAGGAAAAAATGACACATACACAACTTTCAATAGAAAAGTATAACTTCATATTTATTCAGCAACTCTTACATAGTGCAATGGCAATTTTTTAGTTGGGGTTCTATGTTGGCATTCCAAATTATTCTGCATAAACTCCACAGTTAATGTGTCTATAACTTTTATAGATTTTTAAAAAATGGTTCAAGATCTCAAGGCTTTGTGAAGTCATCTGAATGGTGTATAGTCTTCAGTTTCAGCCATTTTTAATACCATTGCACCTTGTTCAGGAGTTTGCTTTTATCAAGTCTTTACAAAATATTCAACATATTTTACAGAACACTTTTACATATTGGTACATGAGGAGAGCAAATGATACAAACAGATTTAGGAATATACAAGCTAATTCTTGGTTAAGTGTTATGTTTTAATGGGCAGAAGTGTGTAGGAGCACCTACTAGATGTATTGTTGCTAGAAGGACAACAGACTGCTCCACAGAAACAATATGGAGCACATTAGTCTAGGTGGCTTTGGAATAGTTACCAGTGTTCTTTGAGGCACTCTAAGTTTGCATCTCTGCCATTAGAAATTTGTAGGTGGTATTACTATGTACCATACTCATTATGTATGTGTTTGAAATCAAAGGTTGATGAAATAATAAGTTATGTATATTCTTTACAGATTACATCCAAGACTTATCAGTCTTTATGGAGGAAGCCTGGAAGAAGTGAATGATTTCCAAGTAACATGTAATTGCTTATAAAAGAAATGTGCAAACTAGAATTTTAATATGAAGGAATTTGCTCATTCTTTAAACAGATATCTTAAGAAAATATTTTAAAAGTAAAATTGCTATTTTTGATATTAAAAAGCTTCTAGGTTTTTGAAAATCAAGATGAAAATATGAAATATCAAAAACAATTTAAATTCTGGTTTGTATAGGTGTTTATTGGAACTGAAACATTTCATACGTTTAACCTTTATGATATCAATATTTAATCAAGATAATTCATTTGGACTCTCTTATTTTACAAGATTTGAATCCATCATGTACTTCCCTGATTTTATGAATGAGGCAACAAATTTAGAGAAGTTAAATTCCAAAATGACACATTTAGTTGTGTAACCAGAAACAGAACCATGTTTTTTGAAAATCTTTCCAATACTTAGCCTGTCTGCCAAAAAAGAATAATCCCATCTTTGAGAAAATGTTGTTAAGTGGTGGGATTTATAAATTCATCATATAGGTAAACTCAAAGTTGATAACATTTTATTTAGAATTATGCAAAAGCCTAATTGGTAGCTGTGTTACCTGAGATGCATGGGTCCAGAAATCATAGCTCTTGATTTCCAATGTAGTTTCTTTAGAGACCATTCTTGAGAAGACAGTTCTAAATTAGTGCTTGACTTTTTTCATGAGGGAGTGATCCTAGACATATTTCTAAAAGAGTTATTTGGCTTTTTAAAAATTAGTTTAATTAATTATACGTGATAACAGAATGCATTTCAATTCATTGTACACAAATGGAGCACAACTTTTCATTTCTCTGGTTGTACATGATGTAAAATTGCACCATATGTGCAGTCATACATGTGCCTAGGGTAATGTTCATCTCATTCCACCATCATTCCTGCCCCCATGCCTCCTGCCCTCCCTCCCCTTTGCCCAAAGTTCCTCCATTCTTCCACACTCCTCCTGCCCATTAAGAATCAGCATCCACTTATCAGAAAGAACATTTGGCCTTTGGTGTTTTGGGATTGGTTTACTTCACTGAGCTTGGTATTCTCCAACTCCAACCATTTACCTTCAAATGCCATGATTTTATTCTCTTTTAATGCTGAGTAATATTCCATTATATATATGTACCACAGTTTCTTTATCCCTTCGTCTGTTGAAGGTCATCTAGGTTGGTTCATAGTTGAGCTGCTACAAACATTGATGTGGCCATGTCACTATGGTATGCTAATTTTAAATCCTTTGGGTATAGACCGAGGAGTGGGATAGTTGGGTAGAATATTACTTGGCTGTTTATAATGATGATAAAAGCATAAAAATGTCTTTTTGACAAAAAGCGCTCTTAAAATATATACATTTTAGTTTTGCTTGTACACAGTTAAGGAGGTTTTGTGTTCAACTTTGCTCAAATAAATGCCTTGGCAAATCACAGTACATTTCTCATTCTCCAGCCACCAGTCTCAGGCTTGTGAATAAGTAACTTCCATGAATCAGAAAATCTGAGGAATGGGACAGCTGGCAGCAGAGCCCTTATGCAAAGCAGTATTTCCCACAGTAAAGACTGTTTTCTTATTTATCTACTTGATTGCTTCCTAGAACAGATGTTCAAAAGTTGGCCATAGGTTTCTTATACACATAAAGAGATCCAGATGAAATTATATTCCAAAGTCACCAGCATCTAGATCACAGGCATGAAAATAAATATTTAAAATTCAGAAAGCTATTTCACTTTAAAATAGATCTTAATATCAACAAACTTTAAACATTATTAATGTTCACTGTATGGAAATATTCAGTGAACTATGAATTTTGTTCCTCCATTTCCCTGGAGAAGTGAATGCTGTTATAGACCTGATAAGAACATATTCCAAAAGAGTAATGAAATATTACAACCAGGCAAATGTTTGCTTAATTTGGGACAGTGACTATTTAATACAGTACCCAACAGATGAAATGTTAGCCTCCAAATCATTCCTGGAACAGCTTTTATAAATCACTATGGAGGCATAGTTTTCATATTTCTTATATCAGTGTATAGCAGCTAAAGTGCAACATTTACAATCTGTTTCAGAATATAAATTAGAATACTTGAATAGTTTTATAAACAAAAAAGTTTGAAGATTTAAAAAAATTTACTCCTGGGTACTCTTGACAAGTGTATTATAGGAGGCTAGTGGATTTATACCTATAGCAAAGTTTATATTCTTTAAAAAAATGTATATATACAGGGGGGAAAATCCGTAGCTGTATAATTCTCCACAAGTCAGTCCATTAAGTTGAAACCAGTATATCATTTTGGAGTAAAACAGTTGCCATACAAAATGTGTTACAAATGCAGATCTTTAAAAATAAAACATGCTTTGAAGTAATGGTCTTCCTCTTTCATTCATTAAAAGATTCAGGGACACTGCTTTAAAATTCTAAATTATTTTTAAAAATATGCTTCATATACATCTCAAAGATGTATTTGAAATGAACCAATGCCCATTCAGTGGATTTTCTTGGCCAAAGTGAGCACATATGAAGTTCAAGATGATTCAATTCAGATGTACTTAATATATCTGCAAGGGTTTAGGTTTTTTTTTTTTTGAATAATTCAAAGGCTGTAGTGTTTTTCTACTCATTATATCTAAAGTTGACCTTTCAGCTATTAAGTATTGCCTTTGCAGTTATTCTCTTTCAGTGATCACTGCTTGAATTATTCCCTCCAATTAAGACAGAATTCAGGTCCAAAGCAAAGGAGTATATGGAAGAATCTGAGAAAAATTCATGTCTTCTTGTAATCTGTTTTTAATCACCATCATTGCTTTTACTGTTGACATAACTCCAACTATCTCTTCTGTTTTCTTCTTGTAGGATAGATTTGTATTGTCTTTTAAAGAAGCCAGCCTGAAAAAATTAAATAATTGTGAATAGTTATGAACATGCTATACTCAGTCAACACCAGTACTCTTAAACTGTGTCCCAGGTCACTCTACATGAGGGCTTTTACCAGATAAAATCAGTAAAAATTCGTTAAAAATATTGGTTTACGGAAGCATTTTTGCTGTTAGTACAGGACTCCTCAGACCCTCCCCCCAGTTGATATTCAACATAATATACAATGTTTTACAAGTCTTTATTTAAAAAAATGTTCAGAACTAGTGTACTAGTTCTGTATCCAAACTATTAGTTCTGAATATTTTTTAAAATAAAGAATAAAAACACTGTATAGTAAAAAAAAAAAAAAAAACTTGGGAGATACTGGCTTTGAAAAAATAGCATTTTTAAACACCTACCTTCCACATAACATACGAAATCAATAAAAGTACAATAAGTCCAAGTAGCAAACTAGTTGAAATAATCACTATTGTGAAATGACGTTTGGGTATTTGATGATGTACTCCTTCTAGTAGAACCTATGTGAATTAAGCAAAATAAAGAAACACTAGTTAGGAACTTTGAAACTCCTTCCAAACACCTACAATAATTAAAACTAGCCACCCCATTCTCTTGCGGGATCCACACAACCCTAGATACACTAGCGGGAACAGTGAATGAAATGGGCTTTGTGACTCTTTCTCCAGTTCATCCTGTTCTAACTGCTACCTGATTCATTCCCTAAAGAGCTCTCAGTCATTTCCTCCTGACAGCAGTCTAAAATGCCACCTCTCAATGAAATGTTCCAGGTCCTCTATGACACATTGATTTCCTGACTCAGCTATGCAAAAGGGATTATGAACACCCTAACTGCAGTGGACCAATTAAAAGAGTAACTTACATGTGCAACATTCTCATCCTTGTTTAGCTCAATAACTCTTGGATGTGGTTCTGCAAAGGCTGTTGCTCTTATTTCAAATTTGAGTGCTGACGTTGCATCCTGTTTTTAAAAAAGTAGTCATCATCACCTGTTTTATTTCAAGACATTAATTTCTCATAGTCTTTACTATCTTGATATTTCCACAGTTTGTCTTCCCGAATTTAATTGTAATTAATTGCAGTGCTTCCCTTTAATTCTAAAGTTGCAATCATATGGCATCATTTCATTGAAATACTTTTGGTAAGTATGGCTGTGCTACAGATAACTTGACTGAGATAGTATTTGTTAGACTGTCAGCAGTTCGTTATTAATATAATTTTTCAGAGATTAAATTTTTAGCCACAAACAAGACTTTTTTCACCTGATAAATATTTCCTCAAACTAACATTTTTTTTGGAAATTTTTTTTTCTGAATGAAATATATTTGGACTACTTCTATAAAATTATATTAATCTTAATTTATATTAATTTCATTATAATTTTAATCTGTGGAGGAACTTTAGTATCTAAAGCAGGTACTATGTAACCCAGATTTCATAGATTGGGGATCTCTGGATGAACCTTCTAGATTCAGAGGTATTTTCATGTGTGCTGAGAATATTAAAGAGGTCTATGACCCTCAAAAGCTACAAACTGCTGTGTAAAGGTTACTTTACACTTTCAAACTGGAAATAAAATCATCTAGAACCAGTGATTTTTAATAAGGGAGGATTTTGTCCCTTAGGGAAGAGTCAACAATGTCTGGAGACATCTTTGACCATCAGAACATGGGTAGTGGTACTATGGGCATCTGTTACTGTATTGCAGCTGAGGATGCTATTAAATACCCTACAGTGCACAGGATAACCCCCCTATGGTTCAAAATGCCAATAGTGCCTACTATTGAGAAACCTAGACATGGTTAAAAGACTTGCTGATGGTCCTATGACTTTTTAGCAAAATTGAAACTAAAATGGACATTTTTTTTGATGGGTCTTCTTCTTGACCACTATGTGGTAATTTCAGAAATTCCAGTTAACACATAAGAGCTGTTATTACCTTTGGCTTACTATGTGCAATACTGTAAGTATGAACAAAAATCATCTCATTTGGCCTGGGGATGTAGCTCAATAATAAATAAAGCAACCCAGGGTTCAATCCCAAGTATCATTTAAAAAAAAATCTTTAAACGAAGATTTTAAAAAATTTTAAAAAAATATATTTAAAAAATCTCTAATCTGAGATTAGAGATGTTGAAAAAATGAGGAAACTGAAAAAAACTAGTTTTACCTCTAAGTATTCTTCATGAAAATACACACTTCAACAGGAAGTAGTCCAAGATGTATGTAATTCAACTTTTCAAAATTCATTGTTTTTGTTGTGGAAATTTTGATGTTTGATTCTATGAAAATCTTAATTTTTATGAGATTTTTAAGCATAATTTAAGGTTATATGAAATATATTAAGATAGTCAATAAAGGTTCATAGGCAGGTCTATACATTTTCTAAACTAAACCTTCTAGTCATTCCATGGTTTTAGACAGCTTGAATGGTAAATAAAAATTGAGATATTCCAAAATATTTATGCCTTAATTCATTGACAGCCTTCATATGATCCTGCTTCTATAAGATGATTGGATTTGTAAATTCAACATGGAATTTACCATTTCCAAAATGGATGGCCGGCCTTCCAACTGGATGTGAACACTGGCTTCTTTTCCACTTTCCATTTTTCCAAAATGGCATAAGAAATTTAAACAGTGTGGATCAGCTTTCATGCAGTACTTGAAAAGAATACAATTTTCAACATTTAAAAGACTGTGTAAATATTTTTTATAAAATTAAATATCCCTTTAGTGGCATTTAGAAAACTATCCTTCTGTAAACACGGAATTAAACATCTGCTTTCTCTGGGGCACTAAGAAACTTACTTTGCTTTTAATAAAATAAAAATGTTTGTTTCGTAAATTACAACAGAAATACAGTGTTAACGTTGGTGCATGTGTTCTCATCTTTGTTAGTAACATTCTTCTGAAAAAGAATGGAAAAAACGATGCCTAACCAGAGTCTTGCTAAGTTACATGTTCTACGTTTGTTGTAAAACCTAGATCATTTGAAGGTGATGATTTCTTCCCAGTTTCTTTTCATTAACTAAGATGAAAAGCATGAAAATCTTGTGCCACAAGACTTCTGGGTGATTTGGCGTCCTGAGTAGATTAGAATAATATCTGCCTGGCAGATAATGAGACTGTATGGTTTCTATTTATCAATGAATCTGCCTCCCCCTTCCAAATCATGTTTCCTCACCCCTCCAAATCATGCCTGTACCTTATATGCAAGATTATTACTTAAAGTTGGACCCTCTGCTCCCACTCGGATGACAGCTCACAGCCATTGACTGGTTTTAAGTGTTTCACTTCTGTTGGGGAGCAAAATCTACACCCTGAAGAACAAACTTACCAACAGCCTCTTTTCAGTCTTCGACAAGAATTTGAATATGCCCCTCAAGGTCTCCAGTGTACCCTTTTGCAGCTCTGATACACACTGTCTTTCATAATTTTTAAAATGGCATTGTCCAATAGTTGTCTACAAACATAGAAAGCAAGGAAATTATCTTTCACTTTGGAAGGAATAAAATGTGGTTATAATAGTTCAAATTGCTTTTCTTTCTAAAGTATATTAAGTACATCTGAAATTGTAAAAATAGTTTTGATAGAATTATTTGGGAGAGAGGATCTGTGGCAAAAGCACATACAAAAACTCAGAAAACTTATGGAAAGTTGGATAGGTCCTAAGTTGATCAAAATGGCCTTAACCTATAGAAATGTGAGAAGTGAAAAAAAAAGACCTTTAAAAATTATACATGAAACAATAGCATGAACTATCTAAATCTGTTTTTTTTTTCTGGGGGGGGGATACTGGGTATTTAACCCAATAGTGTTTAAACACTGAGTCACATCCCCAGCCCTTTTTATTTTTTAATACAGGGTATCACTAAATTGCTTACAGCTTCACTAGGTTGCTAAGGCTGGCCTTGAACTTGTGATCCTCCTTCCTGTCTTCCAAGTTGCTGGGATTACAGGTTTGTGCTTCAAAAGGAGTGATGTAAATATTGCTTCCTATGGAAGGCTCTGTTTTTGATTTTCCAACAGTTGGCTTCAACCTTTATAGAAAATTCTACTAACTAAATTTCTTCCACAGGTCCACACCACAAAGAATGCATCCTCAAATAGTTACTCAATAAAGATGGGGGAAAGGTTATATTAATTTGTAGGTCAAACCCAAAGATTGTGCTGCTATTCTATAGTTCTAAAGCAGTGTATAATGTTCAAAGTATATTCAATGCATGGTGAATGTATAGTTGTGCCTATAAGAGAACAGAAATCTTCATCTTAGCAAAATGACTTAGAAAAAAAGGTGTGGTTTGCATTTTTTAAATATTTAAGACACCTCAAAAAGGTCAGATGGAATACATTTTTACCTGGACATCCAAAATGTTGAACAGTTTATCAGTTTGAGGAGTAAAAGAATTTGGTACCATTATTTCCACACTCGCATTTGGAGCCATGCTAATGCCAGTGTTGATAACCTGGTAAGGAAAAAATTTCAAGCAATTTAAAAATATTTTTCATGAATGAAGAACATAAATCAATGAGCTTTGAGGTGACCATGCAAGATTTACAGTTGTGGAGGTTTGTAGTTGGTAGCCACATAGCAAATAGACAGAATATTCATATTGAGAATTTTAAAAGTTTTTAGTGATTTCAAACTCTCTTCACTATTCCTAGCCTCCTCCCCTCCCCAAAAAGTCCAGGCTGATGGTTTATTGTAGAAAGTCTTAAGAGATATTCTTATCAATATATTTCCATTCTACATTATATATTTTAAAAACATGACCACTTGGTTCTCATGACTATCCTGTGAAGTGGGCCAACATTCTACTATTCGCCAGCTAAGGAAAAAGCTAAGGGGTATATATGATGTTCCCAAGATGAAAGCTAAAGAGTGGCAAGTGTTGAGATCTTGGTATTCTATCTCTAAATCCTATAATGTTTTCACAAAATAACTATCATAAGAGGATGATATCGGCAGTAAGGAATAAAACGTACTTTTATTCAGGATAATTATAATGCATTCAGAAAATTGGAAATGGGTATACTACTGAATTTTCAAGAAAATACAATATTCTGAATACTTCTCAAAAAAATAAAAAGGGGACAATGTATAATTATTGATAAATTTGGGGATTACAGATCCCTGAAGAAAGACATTGGGCCAAAATATTGCCTAGTGAGAGCTTAATTATAAAACCTGTAAGTCAGAAACAAGATTTGCAGCAATACCTGCATGAGAAAGGATGAGTCACAGACCTAAACGCATATGACAAAATGAAGAGACTGTCCTTAGATTTGGGACAGGTGGTAACTGCTAAGCCACAGAGCTGCTGCAGGAAGAAACATCTGCAATGGGTACCAAGCAGCACCCAGGACTATAGACCACGTCTTCCTGATGCCAGTAAATAACAAAAGAAAATTGTAATTAAGCTACTAACCTTCAGACCTCTAAGAACAACTACATATTTGCACAGACTCACCACAACTTCAAACTGCATTTCTCCAGTCTGATTTACTCCATTGTAAATTAGAAAATCTTTATTAAACATCAAAATTGTCATTCTAGAATCCAGCTTGGTTCCTGTTTTATGAAACTGCAAGCCCCCCTGACTTTTGACAAGCATTTCTTAGGACTTTGAAGAACAGTTCTGACATTATTACATATTAGTGTAACGAAAACTTGAATAGACACAGAATTGATAGGATTTCATTCTTTCTACAGATCTGCACGGTAATCTGCATTTTGGTTAAGAACCCCAAGTGAGTCTCAAACATTCTGAAAAATATTTTATAAAATATACCTAATACAAAACTCACATCCTTAGGTTGTTATATAACTACGAATGTCTGGATAGCGCTTTTGATTCAAAAAATATTTTTGTAGACATATTTTCTCATCAACATCTGTGATGCAACTAAAACTTGTTTGACAGTAGAAATTTTATTTAAAAAGATTTATATTAGTATATTAATACTTACAGTATTATAATATACTTATATATAGTATATTAATACTTATAAATCATGATAATATTTACTTTTAAAAAATATTATTCAATAATTAATAAAGTGCTTATCACATGTCATAAACCTGCGGCCCAAAAAGCTGACCAAGTTGATCCTAAATGGAAAGGGGCGGCATTATATAGCTTTAACTGGTAATGTCAGGGCTATTATAAAGCTTGAATCAAGAAGAGATTTCACCGATTTCCTACTAAAGATGTCTTCCCCCAGCCTAACTCCCTTGTATGCATCTCCAATGGATTCGGCTCACCCCCTAACTTTGCCTGTTCCATGTGTTACTTCTTTTCCTGCATGCCCTCCCATGTGTCCTGGAAGGAGATGAGGACTTGAGTACCAGGGATAAGAGAAAAGGGAGAAGAGCATCAGTAGCCTAGAAGTAGCCCTATAGCGAGCTACGGTGGAGGCTATGGTGGGGATGGGACCTTCCATTCCCTGGAGCAACTCATCAGTAACATCCTTCACAGTTGCTACAAATATCCACACAATTAACTTTGCTTACGTGGAAAGTGAAGTTCATTTTCTCTGTCATACATGCTTCAGGCTCATTTTCCTCACTTGATCCATACACAAATGAAGTTGGGTTCACAAACCTGATAGAAATAAAATCAAAGTTAATTAACTGTCTTCTTTGAAGAGCCATTGTAAATAATCTTTATAGGTGTGTTATAGCACAATTAACATGCTGTAAAAGTATACCATGGAATAATTCTGGTTTCTTGGTGATAATTTTATTTAAAAATTAATGGAATTGGAAGGCCATGTGCTCTGACCTGAGTGACAATGTTTGTTCTCACCAATATCCTCCTTTTATCTTCCCCAACCCTGCCTGGTTCATTCTTCTGACTATTCTTTCTCTTCAGCCCTTAATGATTCATGCAATTTTGGTAACTATAGGATAAATCTTTAGCTTTCTGCTGGGGCTCTTAATATATAAGTCTAACCTATTTTTGAGTTCTTTTTTTTTTTCATCCCCCATTCTTGCTGGCTACTTGTAACCCCAAGACTGGGAAACAAGAAAAAACACTGGTAGGTTTGGTAAGTTTTTGTTCAGAATACAAGTTGCCCCCTGTCTAAACTTGTGATTAGACATGTACATAGTTAGCTAAGGACATTGACAAAGGCTCTTCCTACTCCATAAGTCTATTTGGCATTGCAAGTTAGATAATACCAAATTAGGGACCCATTAAACAGGAAAGAAATGAGAAATAATCAAATGACATAGAATTATGAAGTTCAATAGTCGTAGAATATATTCCTTGCTCCAAATAATGAGACATAAATAATAGAAAAATAGGAATGTCCTCAATATAAGAAAATTGAAGTGGAGCAGTGAGATAAACATTCAAAACCAGAAGCCATGCAGTCACCTTTCATTAGCTTATCCACTGACTCTCGAGGTTCTGCTCTCCTGTGAATGGTCTTCTTTCTCCTGTTCAGTCTCACAAACTTAGTACTCAATTCCACTGGACACTGTCATGTTATGCTTATTTCAATGGATGTCATCTTTATGGGTGGTTAAAGTGATTGGGAAATTGTTTATATTTAACATAAAAAGTAAAGCTCTGTATTTATTGTGTCCTATATCTCATCTCTTCTAGTGCTTTAAATATGTGGCAGACTGTCCAGTAAAACAATTAGAGTGTCTTAATCCCCTGTCTTTCTTTCCATACACCCCTTCCTAAATCAGGGCAGTCACAGCTCTGTAATTAGTAAACTCATGAGGAAGCAATGAATGATGGCATGAAGGCTGACTGCAGAACTCCAGTCTCATGGGTGTGAAGGGTGGGCTAAGGACACCTGGCAACTAGCTTTCTCACGTCTCAGTCTATTTGCTACACAGGTAGACATGGTTGTGGACAGTGGTGATTTGGCCAAACTCACACTTCTTTAAACTTCACGCTTGCCATGGCCACTGGGGATGTTCGTGCAAACTGCACACCATGTGTCTCTGGATGTCTCTAGATTGCAAAGCATACAACTGAAAGGCTGAATGTGCCCCACTAGAAGCTGATGGGGGCTCTTTCAGTAAGCAATCTCCTCCAGCTGAGCTGGGGTTTGATATAGTATCAGTGATGATTATAGATTAAAATAATGAACAGTGAAGCCAGGAACTGCAACACTGAGATAACTGCTGAGGACATAGTATCCTTTTAATTTTCTAAATATGATTCTGTCATTCATGTAAGCAGCAATGGAATTGAAATTCCCTCTAAACTTTCCACGGGCCTCTGTATCGACTTACCCATGAGTAGTTAGCATAACCTCATATCTCAGAGGTATTGCTAAAGTCACTTTGTTATTCTCTAGCCTGTCCACGTCTTCATTTTCACTACAAAAACCAGAAAAACATCTTGTTAAATTCATCAAGCACAAAAATCATCTTCAGAGAGTACTCATTACATATTATATATACCTAATAAACTTAGAGGTTTAACTAGTTTGGGGGATAAAAGAAAATGTGGTAGCAAAAAAAGAAATTTAGGATGGAGTTAATAGAACTTTTTCTCCTTATTTAAGCTGCTGTCATTTGCTTCTAATCCTAGAGGGATTTTTGTTTGCTTTTTAAAAACAAAGCATGTAAGAAAAGTTTGTTCTACAATTAATTGAACACAGATCCATGTTTCTCCTAAAATTTCTCTCAAAATACAGGGGTTCATTTCCTCTACTAAATTTTATTTTATTTTTTAATAATCAAATATACCAGGAGGTATGCACTGTGATGCTGAGATCCTCTTCTGCTCTGTTGAGTGAGCTCACATCCAGGAGAAAGCTAATATCTATCTGCAAAACATACACAGAAAAGGACCATTTTAAAACAATCTAAAATACATCTTTTTGTCATCTGAATTTATTTTTCTTAGTAGTTTATTTTTTATGAAACACAGAATTGAAACTATTCTAGAGGCATAAACTACCCTCACTTGGAAGTAAGATATAGGGAAACTGTTTAATGGCAATTTTCAAGTGCAAGCATTTCCATAAGTGACATTCAGAAACAAAGCCGACTCTGAATGTAAAGACAGGCAGGTCCAGACGGACAAAATTAGAAATGCTTTAACAACTTGAGTGAGGACTCTTGCCAAAAAACACCTTTTCATACAGCAGAGGTAACATGCCTGGCAGACAGGGCCACCTGGGGTGGGTGGGGGGAGTGTTGGGGAAGGGGGAACGGGGGTGGGGAACAGAATTCTGATTGACATATTCACTTGCCCATCTCGACATAAACATGTGCCCCTCCCCTTCCTAAACAGTGCACATTGCCAAGAATATAAACACAAAGCTCAAAGATCTTAGGCCTGGTTGGTTTTGCTTTCTTTGCATCACTTAGCTACCTATCCTACATAAAAAAATAATAAGAAGAAATAAAAATATATACACACACACATATGCAGCATAATAGAAAAATACAAATTTATGTTACTAAACAGAAACCATTAATGTACATGCTTACCTGTGAGAGATGATCTACATATATGTAACCAACGCTGCAATCAAGTTTCACTACGCCAGAATTATCTGTTACTTCACAGTTTATTTGCTTTTCTTCCTAAAATTAAAAAAAAAAATGACTGGTTTGGGTAGGCAGGGAATAAGAAATTTATAACATATGTTTAGGGATGGTTTTTGAAAAGCAAGTCATCCTGGGAGTATTTACTTTCCTAGGAAGCAATTTTCTGTTTATTTTGAGGATAAATAGAAATACACATAAATGGTGTTTGTGTGTGTGTGTGTGTCCTAATATTCATATAAATTATCCATAAAAATCTTCTAGACATGTAGTTTTCATTCGCTTCAGTATATTTCCCATTTAATCTGCAGTCTAATTCCTTGAATAATCAGAATGAAAGGGATCTGTAAGGTCCCTGTTTGTGTCTGATATGTGAAAAAGTAGAAGGTACTTAAGCACAATACCTGTAATCACAATTGGTATGTTTTAAAAACATATTCCCTGAATACCTGAAGTTTTTCAACTCTTTCTTTTGAAATAAGTTCCCAATGCTGTAGAGAAAGGGGTTAATAGATATTTGTGAGAGGTCAAAATCCTGGCTCAAAAGCCCTTGGTGTGAAGAGGTGGTCCCTGGATATGATGTGGGTAAATTTGCTAAAGGTTAGAGACATTGGGAGAAAGTAATTGAGCTTTTTCTCTGAAACCCAGCCTTATTACTATCTCACTGATGAGTTTAAGTGCCTGTGACTGAGGCACAATGGTAAGGAAAGGTCTCCGACTACTCTAAATTCTTGTGGGAAAAGTAAAACTTGTCTAAAACCTGGCTTGACAGCAGGATTTCAGAATCTGTGGAGGACTGCAGCCTCTGACATATTAAAAGTCCTCTGGGAAGCAGGCAGAGAGCAGGCACTTAAAATGCAGCACAGTAACTCTGGGTGCCTGGCACAGAGGGCCAATATTGCTCATGCAAGGACCCCAGACAAGAACACTGTCACAGCGCCGCACTGGCCTTCTCCCATAGCACCTGGGAGCGGGAAGCTGATGCCTTTTGACTTAGAGATCATAGAACTTTCCTTTCTGGTCAAGGGCATGGAGGGGGTCTTGATATGATTGAGAGTCTAAGTGATAAGTCTAAATATTAAAAGTTATGGTGTAATATCACTTATGTTTTTTTTAAAATTAAATAAAATACATGTGCATTGTACTCTTGTGATTTTTAGTACTTACCAGTTCTAAAATCTTAATGAAATAAAGACCTGTGGGTAGCTTGACATGCAGAGTGGTCTCAAATGCGTCGTCTCCAGCATTAAACAAGGACACATTCAACATTAACGTTTTCATGCCCCCAACAGCAAGGTAGGTTTTATTTTCATATGGCCTAAAAATTAAGTAACATTCTTTAGTTCTTATTTATAAAATCAAGATTCTATCTTTATGTTTATAGAATTTATGCTGAACACACAATATTAATTTAGAAATAATACCAACCATGGGAATGAATCCGTAAGTAGTTTTAAATCCATATTAAAAGGAATTCAATTCATCAAGTTTCAAAAATATAGTTGGTTATTAATAAAGAAAAGTTTGCTTTTTAATTACAATGGAACAGTGTTTACAGTTTATTTCTCTGCCTAACTTCTCCAATAATTTAAATATATACCTCATTATTTTGTGAAGTTTTCTAAAAGCAACACAACTTTTACTTTGTCTTTGGACAGACATTGAACTAGCTGCTAAACCAAAAGCTTAAGGAAAAGAGAGAACTGGTAGAAAAGGAGAGTGAAAAACAGAGGGCATGTTTGGGTAGAAGTAAAGAAGGCATGGTAAGAAATGCTGTGCCCAGCAAAGGTGTGTCACTAAAATCTATTAGACTAGAATTAATTTCTGAGGTAGGATGGTCGAGCACATCTACAAGAACCAGGCCAAATTAGAAATAAAATCGCAGAAACACTCCACCATCTTGGAATTATGAAGAGAAGACTGCTTTAAATCCAGACAGGTAAGTTCAAATTCTGGCACTACACCAGTTCTTTAGACTGGGGTGTCCTTCAGCATTTCTAAGCATTGGCCACTCTGTCAGTAAAATTTATTATTCAGGTCGTGTACCTTCCATGAAATCCTCAGAATGTCTTAAATATGAGGAAATTTAGGCTTGCGGAATTTATTCAAAGATCACAGTTCTAAAATCTCAAAGCAACTGCAGGTTTTTACACAGCCCATTTTCTTTCCCAGCAAGACAGTATAGCTTAATGCAAAAGAAAACTTTCAGTTCCAACATGTTATGATTTTATAAGCTTTTCCCAAAGACGGCAAATTCTTAATTATCTAGTAATTTAAAAATTAGAAGAATTAGTTCAAAATAGAGAAGGATTTGACCCAAAGTAAATAATCAGGTGAAGATATTCCTAACAATAAAACAGGTAAATATTCATCTAGCATTTTAGAAATTTGAAGTTTCTTCAATGATGTTAAAATTGTGCTGTTCTAGTCAATGTTTTTTATAAAAGCTTAGAATTTGAATAAATTACAGAACAGCACTTATTAGTTGTTTTGAGAAATGATTAAAGACAAAGAATACATAAGGATAAGAACATGTTTCAAAATTTCTGCTTTTATTTATTATTTGAAGATGCATGAATCACTGACTATAATTGAAAGTTCATGTATAATAAATCAGGTGTCATATTTGATGTTATATAAAATAATTAGAGCACATTTCACTCCCTCCTGATCTGATACAGCAAAGGACATATCTGTACATAAGTGTAAATAAATATAAGAGAAAGTTATGAACAAAGGGCTCTGGGAGTCCAGGGAAGGAAACCACTTTTGCCTGGGAGTAGTAAAGCAATATTGTCCTTTGATTTTCTATTAATATGATCATCTAGGTTGCTATTCCAAAGATCTTTTTAAAATTAAACTCTGAAAAATGTCATGATTTAACTTGAGTTAATCTGGATTATATACCTAATAGATCTCTGTTTCAAACTCTTCAATTGTCACACTGTCAGAGGGTTGTTTTCAACAAAGCAAACCAGACAATGTATGTGGAGTAGCCTAAGGGCTTTTGAGATGAATCTTAACTTCTTAGCTTAACATGTGAAGCCTCCAAAAGCTGGCCCTGCCTCACTTTCCAATGCAATTTTTTTTTTTTTACTTTGGTTATATTAACCTACAAACGGGTACAAACCCATCATTAATTCATATTACCCACCCCCCCCACACCGCCTTTAACACCTTCTCGGCTTCATGCACCTGGAGAACCTGTACTTGTTATTCAAGATTCAACTTCAATACCAATGACACTAAGAAGTTCCTCCAGCTGCACCCTGTTCTGGATGCAAGATTCAAGGTGCAAGGTGATGGCGCCCTCACCCCTGGACACATACATAACCAGAGGCACCCTAGGTGCCTCTATAACATAGTCACATTTCAATGTCAAGTCTCTGTCTGGTTCCCCTCTCCATGTACTGTTTTCTTGAAGAGAAGTTACCACATCATGATTATCACAATTTTTTTCAGAGCCTAGAAACAGTGTGTAATGTATGTAGGCACAGATGCAAGCATTGGACATACAAATGGGTCGGGCTACACTCGGAGAACATGTATAAAAAAACAGAAAATTACTAAGTTAATGACTTTTAAGTTTATGAAACAATATAATTTTTGTCAAATTATAGCTGGGTAGCCATGTTTATCTGTTCTGTGAGATACATAAATTTTAAATGTTTCGCCAAGAAAAGAAAGTAAATATCTAGTGCTACCACATTCATGTGATCTGTGCCCCACCCCAAAACTTCACATTTTACAACTCCTGATAAACCTACTGAAGGCATCATCATGCGACCCTGGCAAAACCACTACTAGAAATTATTCATTCAGAATTATCAATTCTCATGAACCTGACAATGTATATACAAAATTATAATTTTGGACATTTCCCCCCACTTCTGTAATTCTAAAAAATATACCTCCAAGAAATGGAACAGTTCACTTAATACTTGAAAGTTCTTCCCCCTCTTATTCTGATTTTCTCCCCCTTGAAACTCAATTTGTTAAAGTATGTGTATGGAGAAAAGCATATAGCCTAAGGCCTCAGCCCAATTTTTATAAACTTGAATACACACATGAGACTGGCACCCAGATCAAGAAAAATGTATTAGCTACACAGGAAACTGCTGTGTCCCCTTCCTCCTGGCTAGCCACTGAATTCATTTTTAGTAGTAAAACTGGTGTTGTCCATTTTTTATATTTCATCTAAATGATATCTGAATAATCCTTTATATATCTTTTTTTTGTATGTGTCTTTTTCAACTCATTTTTTTTTAAGATTAACTTACATATCTGGGCATTAACTGGGCATATTTCCTCCTCTCCCTTTCTGTATATCTGTCTATCTTGGAGCATATTTTTTTAAAAGTTTTGTTTTTTTAAACCCAGGATTAATTACTTAAAATACCTGGATCTTGGTTTGATGATCAGCTTTCAGAATAGATTTAACCAACAAAATATACTAAAAGGAACTATTTTAACATAAGAAAATAAAAGATATATAATTATCATAGAAAAATCAAGAATATCATAGAGCTCATGAGTGTCCTGCAAACTGCTGCCTAAAGGTCAAATTCATACCTCTGCCTGATTTTGTAAATAAAATTTTATTCAATGACGCCATATTCCGCTCTTGCACTTCAATGACACTTCAGAGTCGTAGAGACTGAGATCTCAGTTCCCCAAAGCCTAAGATATTTACTCTCTCTTCACAGGAAAAATTGGGTCAGCTTCTGCTATAGAGCCATCTAACTGATGAGAACTTAAATACAAACATAATATTATATAATATAATATTTACTCTAAGGAATTAAAAGTTACTCTGTATTTTTCTGACAATAGAGGCTTCACAGCTTCGGGTGACATAGAAGGTAGTCATCTGTCCTCAAAAGTCATGCAGTTTTAGAGAAGGGGATGCCTGGTCTTTTTAACTCCACAGCACTCTGAACGTGGAAGAGAAAGGAAAGAAGAGCACTTCCGTGGGTACCATCTCTAGCTTCTGGTCCTTGGGTTTGAGAAGCCGACTTCCTGGTGAAGAATGTGGAATACCTAATAAAGCAGTAATCCTAAACTTCAGGGAGGAAGCATTGATGGAGCGAGGGTGTGTTCTCGAGGATGTGGGCAACGGCTGGGACTTAGTCATTCCTGTCGCAGCCTTTGGGTTAAGTCGGTGCAGGTCTGCTTGATGGTGCATGTTGAACAGGAGGGGGGACGTGTGTGGGAACACAGCCATCCTGCATCCCTCTACTGTCCTGTAAACGTGTTATAACTGACGGAACCTGAGAGGTTCCAAAAGTGAACTTCAGCTTGACATTAAAGTCTAATTAAGACTTGTAGAAGAGCTGCCTAGAAATAGACGTTTATAAAATATTCTGGCTTGTAACCAAAGCATTAGTCACTGAACACCTTTGGGAAAGAAGTTGGCACTTCGACAAGCAACAGAAGGTGAAAGCACTGCATAAGCAGCCAGGTTCCAAGACAACAGCAGATTAGAGCGAGACACACGTTCACATTTCTGCAGCGAGAAGTGACTTATTTTCCATTTTTAAGCAATTCTGCTAGATTACCATAATTACAATTCTACTTTTTCAAAACGTCCATCTTACTGGATCTTGATTCATTAACAAGATGCCGCAGGAAAGATGCCCACCAGCTTTCTCTGTGAGACACAATAAAGGACCAGGTGCACATCTGGAAGTGCGACAAGACTGAACCAGAGCCGTCCCCAGGACTCATAGTTCATTCTTCATTAAAACATGCATAATGCAGACCTGAAATTTACAAAGCAGCCTAGAATCCACATAACTTCCACAAATCAAGGTACTGTGTGCATATGGAATCATAACTTAATAAGTGAAAGAGGAAAAATAGAAAAATGATATACTGCAGCACCTGGCTTTATGTTTCTCCCGAGTGAACGATATACTTTTATTTTGAAGAAAGTGTTTGTGTCATTATAATATACTTTGCCTTGATGAAAAGAATAAGGGCTTCATAGATAACTGTTTTTTAATAAAGATGCTAGAATGAAATATAATGTAAACTGATATCACACTCGCTTTGCTTTGTCAAGATATGGGATGCATTCATTTAACCAAGTAGCCTGCTGCCAGGGGCCTTTAGTTCTAAGTGAAATTTTATCCTCTGTTTTGCTTTATTATTAACATAAAGGAAAAAAATACTAAAAAAAAATTCTTGCCTACTGGAATAGATCAGTTAATTGTCATTTAAGAAGATTTTAGTGAATAAAAGTTAAACTCACTGAGGTCCAGGGGAGGATAGCAGAAGAGCTTAGAAGACTGGACTAGCAATGAGCTTATTTTAGTGCAAAAAGCACACGATTACTCCTGCCAAGGCTCTGTGATGTGAATGAGGCATGTTTTTATTCGAGTTGCTTTTATAGGTGCTAAGACCACAGTTTATATACAACAGTGATTTCCAGGATTGTAGCCTAATAGACCCTGGGTTATTCAGGTAGTAGTTAGCATTCCCTCGACAATGCAGAAGACAGCTTGGAGGTCAGCTTTAGAGAATGAATCATGGCTGATCTAATAGGATCATGATGACTCCATTTTCCTTCAATCATGATACATTCTGGGGAAAGCACATGATGAAGGGACTTGGTTATCAGGATATATCTGATAAGGCTTTCTTCCTGGGAAGAAAGCCTCAAAAAAACCTCAAAAAGAAAAAAAGCACTTTTGGTTTTGGACCTTTTCTTCTTTCTGGGAACCTTTGTGCTGCTGCAGCCATTTTGTAATCATGAGGGGAAAAAAAAATCGAAGCAGGGAAGATAACTGTCAATGTCAAATCTCTGGTAGTACTTGCCAAACCTGCAATAATCTCCTCTCTGCAGACTGTTTATTATATAAAATAAATTTCCTTATTGTTTAAGTTACTATCAGTCAGGGATTCTTTTACTTGTAGTTAAAAGTGTTTTCAATGGATATGAAAGTGATCACTTAGGGAAAACTGGCATCACTTACCCTAAACGTGTGACAGAACTACAGAAGAGCAGTATTATCATTTATATCAGCAATCTATATGAAAGATTTGATTTTAAAACTTCCAATATGATGGCTAATATCTGCTGTTATGTTTGTAATCTTCATAAAGTCTTATTTGTTCATCATTATTTTGCAGTGAAAATCCATTTGAATGTGAGTTGTCATCTTGAGAGTTTAGACACACAGGAGGAAGCCTTCACTTAATGAAAAGATGAGATGTCGTGCATAAGCACCGTTTAGTGTACTGTTGGCAGTTTATTATTATGGGCTTAAGAAACGCATGTTCTTTACCGAGTAAATACATTTACTTAAAACAGCTTTATGGATCTGAAGCACATAAACACCATTAATGCTAGTGAAGTTACAGCCAGGAGATCTGTAAAGCATATGGTCTCAGCTTACTGTTACTCTGAGAAGGGACAGAGGACACCAAAGTAGGAGAGGCATATTTTTGCCTGATAAAGTATAATTTACTAAAAAAAAAAAAAAAAAAATGCAAAGCAGTTTGTCAGAAGCTTTCACTGTGAGTCTGAAAACTTAAATTAGAAGAGTTTTCATTTGAAATTTCCTTAAATCCTTTATCATTTACCAAATAGAAATAGCTTATAACTTTCCTAATTGATGCAGAAAGCCTGATGCCGGCTATTCATAGCAGCACTGGCGCCCCTTAAACCCTCCTAAGCCCAAGGACCTCACAGCCAGCAGCATCCTGTGGAGGAGGTCATTTGAGGAGCCAAAAACCAAAGATCTTCCAGGGGGTGGGGGGGAAATGGTGGTGGCAGACAGATAGGAGGAGAAGGGGGTCAGGATGGCATCCTGGAGACAGAAGGAAAAGGTGTTGAGAAGAGGAAATAAAGAACTGCCAATGCTTCCTGCTTCCGAGGGGACTCAAGCAAAGACTGAAAAGCACCTCCTAGGCTTTAAGTTGAAGGTTCCTCTCCAATGTATTCTTTGACCCTCTCCACGGTTAAGTAAAAAATGTTAACACACAAAAATTCTTCAGTTGAGCCTACTTGTTCCCTTAACTAACAACTCTCATTTGGCTACCTGCTGAATTTATTTTTATCTTAACATTTTCCAGTGAGTCCCCTTTTATCCCGCCTTTCAGATGCTGACTCCTATGACCCCTCTGAGACCTGCTATTTGATCTCCACCTTGCGCTGTAGCACTGAATCCACCTTTTCACAATCTCCATTGATTATGTGACCACAGACGTGGTTTTCTTCTCAGTTCTCTAAAGATCCCTGTTTGATCTCTAAAAGGGGTTTCTGTGCTTAATAGGTTCTTTAAATAAAATTGCCGTCCAAGATTTGATCCTTAGTTTGTTCCTCTTTAAAATTCACACTTCCACCTACTGGGCAATCTCACAAATCACCAATACGTAGAGGAACTTCCAAATACGATCCTGGTGTAGATTTTAAGTGGACAGTTGTATACAGAGGTCTCCCCAAATTCAACACGTCTCAAACTGGACTGCTTCTTTCATATCCCAAGCTCCAAAAAATAGTTTATCATTTTCCTGCTGTATTAACCCTCCGTCTCCTTCCCTTTTTTTATGTTCCATAAATGTAAAATCAACCCTCAACTTGAAGTATGGACTCTCTTTGGTCTTCATTTTCACATTTTCCCCCTGATGTGCAAAACAACTTGAATACAGGGACTATCGACATGATACAAGACCTCAATGGTTCATCCTTTATCATAAAATAACACCAGCAATCAATATTTATTTACTTATTACATGCTAGATGTGGTTCTCAGCATATTACACGTATTTTCTTTTTACTGGTTCCCCTTCTATGAACTTAGAAGACCAAGTTGGTTATGTCTTTTCAAGTTTATTGTATATGTCTCATTTTGTATAAAAGTTTGAATAATAAGACCAGTTTTCCAGGTGATAAAAAAAACTAAGCATTATGTAGTAAATCCCTGTTTTGCACCCAAAACTCTATTAGCCAGTACTTATAAATGTTAAAACATACCTACAACTATGATAATAATATCCTAAGGCACAATTAAATTCTGAAATGCATTCCAAGTTATCAATAAAACATTAAAACATGCTTTGTAAAGCCTCAGTGCTAATATATTCTCATTCTTTGAAAAATGGTAACACTTGAATGACATGTAGATTATTTAATCTCTCTCAGTAAGACACTGTTCCTTCATAGATATTTAAAGGATGCTAGTTCCCAAGTGTTATCCCTTTCTCTTTAGAACCCATATGCATGTGCCCATTGCACCCTCTTCATGAAAAACAGAGAAAATGCTAAACTTACTTCAAAAATCCAATTTTTCCCGAAACCTGTAAGTCAGCAGAACAGTTTTCATGGGCACAAAACCTTGCAAAGTTTATCTGGAAATAAAATTTGACAACATTTTGAATTTTAGTTCAATCAGTAGATATATTTCTACAAAGTTAAGAACAAGGCATCCATGATACATGAGGAAAACAAATTTAATACATCAATTGGTAACTTCCTCTTTTATCCCTGAGGGTTCAATTTGAGACTCAAGTCGGTAGATTCAAATGACTACTGCAGTGCTAAAGAAACTCAGTGTTTCCAGAGGTAGACTTAAAGCCTAAATTTGTTAACTGAAATAAGGTTTGGGTAAAGTTAAAGACACTATACAGATAACTGAGGAAAATTAGCTTCCAAGATGTTCTTCCTCAGTTTCCTTTCCAGTTTTGAGTGCTCTCGTTTGATCCCACTTATTACACAGATGCATGACACTTGTTTATTTTGGCAGATGGCAGGACAGTGATTTTATATTCATTGAAAATAATTTCTAATAAATGTAGAAATTAAGACATTTTACTTTGAGGAAATATTGAAAAAAATTAAACGGTAGTCTGTAGTAAAGGGGCCTGAATTTATTTAACTCTGAACATTTTCATAGGATCCACACAGTACAAAGGAAGACCTGAAGGATAAGATGGACTAAAGAAAAAATTAAGCAGTAAACCAGAAGAAAGGAAAACATCAGAAATGGGTGAAAGAAGGAAAGGTGCAGAGAATGAGAAATCTAGAAGGTTAGAGAAGGAGCCAGGCAGAGGCAGCAGGAAGTGACTGGGGACTGTCCAATGGCCTGCTAGACCATAACCTGCCTATGTGGGGCTGGTGGTGGGTGGGGGTGGTAGGAGCTGAAGTATAAATCTTCCTCTAAATGGTTAAGTAAACGCAACGTTTTTCTGCCACTCTTATTTGTAAAGCAAGATGTTCTGAGAACCAAAGTATAGATGAATAAAATTTGCTCCTAAATTATTATATTCATTTGATCTAGTATTTTAGACATTGGTGATTATAAGCTTGAGTATCTAAAATACTTTAGGACAATTTTCCCTGGACAGCATATGAACTATACTTTTAAACATCCCTGTTGTCTTTTATATTCTGAGTTCTACTGTGTTTCAATGAATGCTATTTACCATGCCCAAACTCAATTGACAATATCTTTGTGCTGCTGGACAGTAAATGTCTGAACAGCAGGATTCCTGAGAATAAATGCATCATCAGTGAAACTGAAATATTCTCAGACAACTTTGAAAAAATCAGTTCACTGATTCGAATCAGGGTCTATCTTAAAATACAGTTGATCTTGGAATGTGGTTAAAAAAAAAGCATGTACTGAAATTTTAAAAGGAGAAATTATTGTTTAACAAATTTGTGTTTATAAATTAATAAAACTCAGCAAAAGAATTGGATTAAGAAGACAGAGGGACTCCATGTGTAGGGAGAAAGACACAGTGAGAGAAAGTACGACAGAAAATGAGCACACACAAGACAGGGAATAACTAAGCCAGTACTGCAACTTAACTTCCATTAGGGTTCCTCTCTAGTAATGTATTTTCCTCACTGGCAAGGCATCGAGGAGAGAAAATTTACTTTCTATATAGAGGGGAAACTACTGCTGTGCCTAAGTGCACATTTATTCAGTTCAATACCCTAAAGAGAATATAAGAAAATAAATATAGAAAACAAGACACACCATAAATCTGTTTTGTAAAAAACTCCACAGAAGGCTTACAAAGAATTCAAACTTCCAGATCATTGCTTCCAAATTATGCCATTTAAAAAACTTCTTTAATTAGGTCACCCAGAATTTTAAACAACAACAAAAAAATATCCCTACCGTCTTTTTAATCATGTCCTTTTCTTTCTTCTGCTGAAGGATTGGTTGAAGTGGTGGGAATTCCTCTGTGCTACGCTTACTTATCATGTGATGCCCAAGGTGATAAGCAGCTTGGATTTGAATGGGGGTGAGGATGTCCCGCACATCTTTCTAAGGAAATCAAAAACCATGAGAATTCATAACAAAAATAGCCATGAAATAAAAAGACATATAATACTTCTTTCCTGCATAAGAGCAAATACAACACGTAGAAGCAAAAGCATATCCTTGTCTTTTATCTAAACTGCTTTAAAAACAGTGAAACACAGGGCTGGATATGTGACTCTGGCGAGAACACGTGCTAGTGTGGCTCAAGGCTTCAGTTCCCAGAACCATGGACAAAAATGCAATGTGTCTATTTTTCCCACAGCAGAAGCATTCATATTTCTTATGAGAAACACAAAATGAGTATAAAATGAAAAACTATGACCATATAATAATAGTCACAAAAGTTTGTATTTGGGTATATTCCATTCTATTTTCTATATATTTTTTATAACTTGGCATATCAATATAATTTATTTATAAATTCTTTGTAAATTGTTCAAAGTTCTAATAAATAATTCATTTCATCTAACATGACCCTATAATGAACTTGCAGTGAAATGATATAACTCTCTGTTTTTTTAATCAAGGGTTTTTTTTTTAACATCTTTTGGTAATATTAGAATTCAAACTGACTCATCTGACTCCATAATATAATAATTATTACATATATTATGCTCCAAATGTAGCCATATAAGCCAACTAAGGAATTACTGAATTTATTTCTTAAAATAAGAAACACTGCTGAACATTTGAAGGAAATAAGAAAACTGGACTATTGCCAACCAATGAACATTAAATTAAAAAAATGAATTAAATAGCAAGTATTAGACTTCTATTAATTAAATGGTATCTGGAAGATCAGAGCCTGAATTAGGGTACTCAAGGTCTGATTACTCTTCCATTCTTCTGCATAGAGATACTTTTATTAAATTACTTGATAAGTGATCATCTCCACATGAAGCCTTGACCATATAGGAATGCTGCAAATCAAGACCCAAATCCCAAGTTATCCACTTGTGAAAATGAAACAGCTTGAAGCCCTGAGTATTACAATAGCAAACTTGATTAAATTATTCCCCAGGTGTAGGAGCTAGACAGCCACTGATTCTCCCTCCACATGTCCACTGTTTTAATTCTTCTCAACAAGCTTGCATTGACCAAATCACATGTTATCTAATTCATACTAATTTTCCACAAGGTCTTCTCTACATCTGGTGTATATTACTTTCATTATCCTAATTAGCTATTAATTATGCTTTTCTTGCAGTATATAAAATGTACACGCACTCTTGCAAGAACTGTATTGATAGGTGGAGCTATTAAAGTTAAATAAGTGTGAATATCTAAGGACAAAAGCAGTAATGTCAAAAATGTCTTAAAGTGACAAAGTATTTGGGAGGGGAATATGTAGATTTGCTTAAAATTTCTAATATGGGCAGGCATGTGCTAGTATATTAAAAATAATGGAAATTCCATGCCACATTTTTATGGACAATTACATAAAGCAGGGCACCCACAAGCATGCAAATTAGCACATGCCTGAAATTACCCAGAGTCTATCTTCTTGCTTGACTTTCATGGAATTCTATTTCTGGTCAATTTGTAAGCTAAGCTGTAGGCCCCAGATCTCCTTCCGTATGTATATACTGAAGGAATTTATTTAAAGGTTGGGGCCAAAATATTTATAAAATTTTAAATGGAAAATTATGTCATGGCACCAATATTTTAAGGTATCTATTCATTGGTCTACTGTGTGCAAGAAAAGTTCTGAAGCTACAAAACTAAAAGTCAGAACCGACATCTCAGTCTATAATCCATAAACCCAGATGTGTGAGAAATAAATATTCTAACGTGCATGCATGAGCACAGAAGAAGGAGGGCCACCTAATAAATATAGATGGTTTTTAATTTAAAAAGATGGCTATATTTGTATTCATGAAATGCCCCTCTAGTGCCAATGTGGTGCTGAGGGGGGAGAAGGGGAGACCAAGGCATAGGTTGGACTCTAAGCCAGAACCATCACATGCAATTCTAACCACTTTATCTGGTAAGTGGTTCAGATGCTAGAGAGCTACTGGGCTTTAGGCACTACAACTTCCTGAGAAAAGATCCCTCTGAAGACAGTTGCCCCAACATTGTACCAATAGAATACTCTCAGATTTTTCCTTGTAGAATTCTTTAAATAGCACTAAGAACACAGAGTCCACAATTTGTTAACTATTTATCAAGTTTCTGCCCTTGGTAATGAATTGTGCTAGCTCCAAGAATACAAGAACACAAAAATGTGAAAGACATTATCCTGCTTCAAAGACTTAACATTCAACAAAATATTCAGATGTGCCAGAATAATCAATTCTCTCCTTGAAAAGCATAATATCAGTAGTTACTTAGCTTATTTGCACTTAGATTTTCAGCAGAATATGTTCATGTATAAATCAATTCATCATGTGCTATGATTAAAAAATAACTGCTTTGCAGCAAACAGTACTTCATTAAACTATGTGCATATATTGTTCAATAATATAAGCAAATAGGCCAAGTAATAATATAAATAAGATACCATTTACTAATTAAATATACATTCATTTCCTTGAAATTATGGGCGAGATGAGTTTTAGAAGTTGTCTAAAGACTTATATAAAAAATAAAGTATTTGCATTTCAGAAACGCCAAGTTCAGAAAATTAAGAAATGAAGGAGAAGAAAAGAATAAACCAATCTACTACACAGGTAGGCATGTGACTTCATGGTTTTAATTTCATGGTTTTAACATGCTAAGGCCACTGAACTCACTGGATCTTGGAATACTGATGGAGAGAGGTATTCCTGAACCAGAAACTCAGTTAAATATTTCTAGCTTTAATAGAAATATTGCAGACAAGCAATCTGTTGTTTGGTACTTCAAGCTAGCATCTTTCTCTTCTGCGAATATCAGTGACTATTTTAATGCAGAGATTCCACCAAGATCAACCAAGATATATCATCTACCAAAATATTAAGAGAAATCTCCTACCATGGCTCTTCTAAAATTTCTAAACACTGTTGCAAATTGTTTCTTGGGTTTCCTTAAAACAAAATTGCTTCAAAATTATCTTGTCTTAATAAATCTGATAGATCTAATAAAGTAAATTTGAGTACAGTAAAGGCAGATTCATTTTCATACACTTATATGCACGTGGAAATAGTTTCTCATAGAGGAGAGTGTGGCATCTAATTGAAAAGGATTTCCATAGGTACAACACGAAGACAGAGACTTCAAGATGCGGAATTGAGAAGGTCACTTTCCTGTCTGCTCTGTAGGATGAAACCAAGAAAGCAGACAGGCAGTTTCTCAGTAAGGTGGGTGAACAAAAAAAAAAAAAAAAAAAAAAGGTAAGTGAGTGTGTGTGTCTGTGTGTGTGTGGGGGGGGGCGGGACTTTAATGGAATTTAAAACTGGACATCCAAAGCAGATTGGGGACTCAGGAGGTTCAATATAATAAAATAAGGAAGAAAGCCCCAGGGCCAACAGCTGATGCCATGGCAGAAGGTATTAGCCAGAGCAGTTAGTCCTTGAGCAAAGTGGAGGGATAAGGGAATGAAAAGAACCTGCATTTTTAGGAGACCTGAGGCATGTCTGGGTATGGAGAGTTTAGAGATCAAACACACTGCCCAACTAAACTGAAAGGCAGGCTGCACCACATCCTTGTGTGGAAAAGAAGCCAAATCTCTCCCAGCTGTGTGCAGAGGACACAGGAAGGAACCATTCTGCAGCTGCAGCACAGGGGCCAGCACCTGGGGAGCTGATAACTGGTAACCCCAAGTCTGGCCTGAAATCCAGGCCTTGCAAACCACACTGCATAAGATAGAGTAAGGCTAAGTGACAAGAAAAAACAAACAAACAAACAAACAAACATGCAGAGTGGATTACACAGGGGAATACTAGTCATAGAAACCTTCTCAGCTCTACCCCACCCCATCCAATCCAGCTGTTTACAGATGAGCTAGGAGAGATGAACCTGGCCAGGAATTCAAAAGAGGAGGGACAGAAGAGATTGAATTTGGAGACCGAACCTGAGACTGGGAAAACGTGTGTTCTGCAGGTGACCTAGTGGACTAAGAATTGGATCCTCCACCACATGAGTGGAACCCAGGGGAGATCCTTGAGGTACAGTCTTCCAGTGTGGACCAGCAACCACTGATTTAAAGTCTCTAGACCAACTGGCATTCAGCAAAGAGCCTAGAACCCACCTAAGCCATAAACCCACCTCCAGGAATTCTGCTACAAGTTTACCTCTCTTACTCCAGCAATCCAGAGGGTGGAGCATCATGCCGAAGTTGAGCCCACTTAACACTGCTGAGAAGAGAAGCTGAGAATCATTTGAACTCCAACGGAAAGAATTCCTTTAACTTTCACCAAGATTTTTTTGTTTTTGTTTTTCTTTTCTCTGTTTCATTGGGACCTTAATGGATTATAGAGACTTATACATATTCATATTTTTTTCTCATTTCTAGTATTTTTGAAACCAGTTATTTTTTATGGAGCATTTTTTTTGAGGACTAGGATGTTTAATTGGTATATTAAACTTTTGTTTTGGATTATTTTAAAATTTTTACTTTACATATTTTTTCTCACTTGTTTCCCTTGATTCTCTTTCTCTTTTCTTCTGCTAACAGCTAATATCTATTGTTCTCTATATCACCCTTCCTCTATTACTTATATCTTCTCTCCTCTTAGTAAATATCAAATCCTAAATCACTTCTCCATTCCCTCTGTCTACCATTCAAAACTGTAAATGCTTTTGCAAGCTTCCTGTTTTTACTGTAAGTAAAAATTATATAATTTCTGTTTATTATGACAGTTAACAATGTAGACATCATTGCAGGAACCATTTGGTATAATGCTGTATATTGTTTTCATTAGTTGTTGTAATAATTTGTTTCCTCCTAATTGGTGAGGTACTGAAAAACTTCAGGGACACTATAAGTCCATAGGGTAGAAACTCTACTGCCACAGATCTATACAGCCAAATGGGTGGACACACAAATAATAGGAAAAAAGCAATAGAACAAATCACCCCAAACA